AGATGGGTAAATTAAGTATTCATATAATACACTAACTAATTGGATCATATGGATATTATTTTGGATTATACACATTAATATCCAGATTTAGTCAATTATCCTAATATTGGATACACATTATAATTGTCATTAATGATTATACACATTAATATCCTAATTGGATACACTAATTGGATAATATGGATAAATGATTCCCCTGGTTCAAATTTGGCTATTTCACCACGTCATCACGATAAAACCATCCTTCCGTCAAAACCCGTCATCCGTGTCCTTAAGCATCTCGACCACCAACGAGTCCCACGCCTAAGAAAACGTTTGGCAAATGACTGGTGAAATCACAGACTTAAAATTGTAATTTTGTATGACTATGGATAGTGATATAAATATGTGTTGTTGTGATATAATATATTATATCATATTATATCTATATTAGAATGGCTATTCCTAGTCTATCCCATTCATGGATAATTTTGGATAGCCGTTTATATCCATTTATGAAGTTTGTTCAAGCCATACATACAATGTATATACAATGTATATTATATATATATACACACTCTAGACTCTAGAAAGGTGGTCAGTCATGATGTTCTTCACCAAGTGGGATGACTTTTTGACCGCACCTGCTGCGTGAACTGGGGAGCAGCCTTGCGGATGATGAGAGCCACTGCATCCTGGCGGAAAGGGAGGGATACCCAGCTGTTGATCTTTGGCCATATGGGGTATGTCATTAATAAATGGGGGGATCCCCAAAATGGATGATTTATAATTTTTGGAAACCTCCATATTTTTGTAGCAAATGTTGGTGAAAAAAAATAGGGGTACTGTGTACCCTCTGGTGTGAAGGATTGGGAGAAGTATATACGTAATGAATCAATGACCATTGCGCAACTAGGAGAGGTGCCCACCCTCTGGTAATTTAACACAGCCAATTGCAGAACATGGCCCATTTCGATGATTTACCTATTCAAGATGAAGATTTTCCATAGCTATGTTGAATCACCATGAATTACCAAGCTGCCTAATGAATGAAACCATGTTTATTCATCCAGGCTTCACATTCTCCTGCAAGTAAACGAGTGGATTGCATCCCCGATTCACCAGCCGAGATTGAAACCCATCAAGCGCTGCAACAAACACTCTACATGTTTTTTTTCCGCTAGCTGGGTATAGCATAGGCTATAGATTTCTATCCCAAGGCTCACGGGATGGTGTCTGTGATAAATGTCATATGAAATATATATCCATGTCACTACTTTCAGTGGTAAATTTCCATGTAGTTTCATTCAAACAACACGAATCAAAGTGTCCAAAGGTCAAAGAATGATGGATGACTCCCCAGCCCAGCGCCAGGCCAGATGACCTCCACCAAGGTGCGAGGAATGAGGCGAGGTAAACCACACTGAATCTCCTAGAAATTGCTGAAAATTGCTGCCCCAGACCTGGATTTCACAAAGTTGAAATAGCTATTTAATATATCATATATATATATAAATAGTTCAATACATATATTAATATACATCAGAGTAGGGTTTATGAGTTTAACAACAAATCATCAACCTATATAAAAATGCACCAAGAGCCCCAAGTTGGGGATGATCAATGAAAACATCATTCTGTATGTTCTGAAACATCTGAAACATAAAATAATTTTCAACTCTTAGTATGTTATGAACATGAAACATACAAGAAAACAATAGAAAACATACCTAAGTTGGGGATGATCAGTGGGATCAAGCATCGAAAAAAAACATCTCCTCAATGGACACCAGGCCGGTGCAGAAGAAATCCTTGATGCGATCCACTCCTGGCGCTGGCAAAGCTACATCAACCCCAACAGAAAATAGAAACGCTAGAAAAGTTTAAAGTTCTTCGGTAAAATGGTTGCATGCATGACTTTTCTATCTTAATTGGTAATGTTGCTATAGTTGCTTCTTCCCATTTCTTCCCTTTTCTTCCAGCTTCTTAAAGAGATTCAAGGGCCCCAGCCTGTCTGTGGATAGCGCCAGCAGGTCGCAATGGCCTGCGCAGCTGGGCAGGATGTGATTGGTACGAAGATTTCTCCGGAGTAAAAGTAGGGTCTCTAGGAAGAAAGAAAACTTCTATAAGCTTCTCTATATCTATAATATATATATATACATAAATGTATATCATATATATATACATATATCATATATATCATATATATATACATAAATATATACATATATCATATATATCATATATATAAATATATATATATATATCATATATATATATATCATATATATATATATATATATCATATATATATATATCACATATATATATATATATATCATATATATATATATATATATATATCATATATATATATATATCATATATATATATATCATATATATATCATATATATATCATATATATATATATCATATATATTTGATATGTATAATTAATAATTAATATATGTATATGTACAGTATATGAAAAATGGTCCTCACTATTTTGATGGAAATGTGTTGTTCAATCTTTTTGGGGAATCCTTTGCCAGTCATGGAGGAACTGGTTCAGAACGGGACTCCCAGTTCATGAGGAGTATACCCTCTGGTAATTTAACATAGCTATTGAAAATGGCCATAGAAATAGTGGATTTACCCATTAAAAATGGTGATTTTCCATAGTTATGTAACAGTTTACCAGAGGGTAAGCCCTACAATCAACCAAGAGGGGTTTAGCAGCGACTGCTCAATCATAGGTAAATCATCTATAAATGAGGAAATCGTCCAGCTAAATGCGCCAATGTCCATAAATGACCAAAGGGGATCCCAATGATATTCAAATTATCCATCAATAATCCACGCCGCATAACTTTAACCCACATATTCATAATATTCAATAGTCCTTTATAATCAGTTATATATATATACTGATTTGAGATATCAAATAATCCAATTGTCAATTGTCAGTCCAATATAGTTCAACATAATCCAATCATCCAACTATCCATTTAGGATCCCACAATCATCCACTTATCCACTAGTTACCCTCCGATAGTTTAGGATAGCCATGGACAGTTGCCTATTAAAATCTATTAAATTAGAATAGCCCATAGCTTATACAACTACCGTACCCTTTATATAGCTATATATATATATATATCATGAACCATTAGTACTAGTTGATTCTTCCAATGCTGTGGGCCATTCGAACATGTGGGAGACTGTCTGTTTCCATAAGGTACCTCAAAATCCAATGGTTTGTGAAGTTTATCATCATGTTCAAAAGGACAATAACCTGGGGGATGTACCTATGAATACCAATATAACAATATATAATCATTTTGATACCATAATGGTAACTTAACTATCATATTTTGGGATATATTCCATTTTCAGACACACAGATGATGTTTTTAGATGATGTACCGCTCTTAAACACGCTGCTTCAAGCCGCCGAAATTGCGCCTCGGCAACAGCTTGGTGTTGAGCTTCCGTGTATGGCCTAAGCACAGCGCCGGACGTAGCGAATTTTGGGGAAGGGAATCCAGCGAGTGGGTGTTGGTTTCAGACACCAAGAGTTTTTAGACGAAGTGTCTGGTGGACCTATGAAAAATCACCCGAATTTATGTTGGTTTATGTTGGTTTATGTTGGTTTATGGGGGTCCCCGGTTTTTTATTCTGAGAGACTCCATTTCTGGAAGCCATTTTGGTTCCAGGGGCTGTACTACCATCCAGCGACTGGAGGATCAGCTGGGATTGTCTCCAAACCTTTCTGAAACTCAGTGAGAGTATGGATCAAAATTCAAGACCACCAGTCTGCAAAGGTTGGACATGCTATTAAGTAGTAAAAGGCCCAGTAAGGCATTCAATTTTGGGGCAACCAATGTTGAACCCATACCCTTTATCATCTTTTTAAAAATTACAAAAAATGACGAGTTCCTCATTCTTCTTGAGGAGCAGCCAACACCAACTGTTCCAGCATCTGTGGCTGCTACCCCAGGAAGGCCTTTTCGATCATGTGAGCCTCGGTGTTCATGTTGATAGAGCATCGTCCCGCAGCTCTCAACTGTCCAACAATGTTGGACACTGCTTTTGAGACCACCAAACAATCAACATGTTTCTTGCAGCGTAAGCTGTGCACCAAATTGTAAATATGATCTCCCTGTGTTGGGAAACAGCTGGATTCCCACGTGGGTCGCTGAAGTGCATATTTGGTGATGTAGAAACCCGAAGCACCAGCAGGTGACTGGGCGATATCTGAGTTGAAAAAAAAACCTGTATGTAAATCCCTATCCCAACAGCAAATCATGTGATTTCCAAGCGGCGGTCTTCATATTTATGTCTCGGCGCTTGATTCTGAACTGTTTGAACTAGAGCTTGTTGCATCTACATCGGCGCTTTAAGCTACATCATATCCGTATATATCCGTAGAGAAAGTTTCGTTCAGCAGTTTCTTTTTCAGGGAACAGCATCTTTTTCACAATCCCATGGCGGGGCCATTTTGAAACATGGCAGAAAAGTTTGACAGTGTTACTGGGAAAATTAACCCATCTGTGGAACAGATTGCTATCAGGTCAATGACTTGGAACGCAGCGCACATGGGATGAATGGTCTGCGGTCTCCGGGTTTTTGTGGGCAATTGGTCATTCTGACTGAAATCCTGATGTCGTTCAGAGGTCGTTCAGAGGTCGTTCTGAGGTCGTTTGGGAGCCGAGAAAAATTGCTAAATAATGACTCTTGAATACACAATAATTATACAATCTGAAAATCATATCTCTGTCTGAATTCCCCGGAACGGGTAGGGTCCTCTGTGTTTCTAGTGGACGTGCAATTCCTTATAAAATGGCCCTATCTCCAAACATTTTTTTGTGCACGGGAAGAGTCTTGGGCTCGTAAAAACATGGCTCTAGAGGGAAACCGCTCAGGCTAGGGTCTCGTTGCAGAGATTACAAAGACCGTGCCAGATGCAATTTGCTAGCCCCAAAAAATGCATTTAGGGTGGTTCCGGGTGTAATTTGGCTGCTGATTTGTTCTAAATGCATCTAGACCTGTATATAAATATATGTAAATATATACTTATATAACTTATATACGTATATTTAGGAGGTCGTTCCAATGTCGTTCTGGATGTCGTTCAGAGGGTCGTTCCCCAACTAAATGGCACATTCCAAAATTACCAAAAACATCAGAAATAGCTGCGGCGGTGCCTGGAATTCTGAACGAAGGATCACACAATACTACTGCAAATTAACCACCCTTTTTTTTTTGGCTCATCTAACGTTCGTCCCCGAGTCCGAAACTGGTACGGGAAACTCTGGAAGATTGTAAGGTACCTGGCAGCGCAAAGTATGAAAACTGCAAATCATAGCTAAAAACACCGCCTCATTTTGTTTTTGGTATCAATGGAACCACAACATTATTTGGTCCTTGCCCTTTACCCATCTTGTTGGTGAATGTTGGTGAATGTTGGTGAATGTGAATGATTCAATTAGACACAGCCGCACATCAGCACTTTGCCAGAGCTCGCATAGAATGTCAGAGTTTATCACAGCAGTAGCAACGACAATGATCAACACGGCTATTATTTAATCATATTTAATCATGTTTGATCATACCTCAGTATCCCAAGCAAATAGAGAAAAAATGGAAGAACAACTACCCTCTGGTAAACTAACATAGCTATTGAAAATGAACATTTATAGTGGATTTTCCCATTAAAAATGGTGATTCTCCATAGTTTTTTGTATGTTTACCAGAGGGTATACCATCGCAGCCGGTGATTTCCTTCCCAAAAAACCTGCTCGAATGCTGCACGGAAGGTATGGGCCGTCAGCGAATTCCTGCGATGGTCACCCCACAAGGATCAAACTCCGTGATGCTCTCCGTTTGGTAATGAGGCATCCCCTCTGAAAGGCCCAACAGCACTTTATACCGGATCTGGGAGAGCCAACTGTGATTCAGATTGATTCTGTAGATCAGAAAATGACAAAATTATTCAAACATATCGAACATGTGCGATAATCTCTGTATCTTCCCGGGAGACTCCACAACCCAGTCTTGATTGGTCGTTCATTTCGCAGGATCTGCTTGGTGGTACCGGCAGATGGAGCCTGAACAACCGACAGGTCTGAGCCCCTTGTGGTGATTGCCAATGTATCCAGTATGATGTAAATGGAACAAAAACATTGGGACATATTGGGACATTTGGGGTTATCTTGATGGCATGAGCGTGGGCACCTTGCATTTTGGCAGTCTTGCTAAAGCTTTAGAACCTATTCGACTCCACACAGTCTGTCTTCATTCCAAAAGCATGGAATACGGCGGAAAATACAGTACTACTCTAGTTGCACACCAAACTTAGCAGTACTTGGCTTTTAGCCCTGGACGTCACCCAAAATCCAGCCGGGTTTATCATCCGCACTATTTCATGGTGATTTGGCTATGAGTCATAACCCTGGTACCTAGTGAACCAATACAGCTGGTAAATGGATGTTCATCCCATTAAAATTGATACTAATAGGTTTTGACCCATCCCCATTTGGATTTTCACACACAAATCCAACAAAGGTCGATGATTCCAGCTGATCCCGGCCTGCAAGGCCGCCAGGACCTTGCCCAAATTTCTGTGATGTCACTTCAACTTCTGGCAATGGGTAAATTGTGAATGAGACAAATTAATACAAATTACCAAGTTGTCAGCGAGCTATAAATCCCATGACATCCCCATTTTCCTATGGTTTTCCAATGATTTTTCCCTTTTGGGGGGCCCCAAGATTTGGTTTCGGTGCTTTGAAGATTACATAATTCCAACTCTCGCTGGGAGGCCTGGCTGGTCAAGACTTTGTGAAACAGGGGCTTGGATGATGAGTTTCCACCAACAAATTGGGCATTTCCAGGGTCTATATCAACTTAAAGAAGAGTAAGAAACAACATCAAATCTTTTTGGCATCGACATCAAATCCTGACAAAATCGAAAAACATGAAAAACATAATGAACATGGCCACTTCAAGTAGTAGTGTGGTAGATCCCATGATACACCCTGGTGAAAGAATAACTTACAGATAGTTTATCATGTGTTATAGGAAACCACAAGTAGCTATGGATAAGAAAACCCAACGGCACCCTGGTGTTTACAGAATCAAAGCGTAATATACCTGACCAATCCCTACATTGTCAAAATCTGAATACTATGTGGCTTGATTAGCTTGATTCCTCATTTTGTCTTTCAAGAGTGAAAAGGGTTAAAAACCACCATATTTCATGGTTTAAACAATGCTAAATCATGGTAAATCCCCATGTTCTGATGTCTGCGCCTCGTTCCGATCCACGGCTGCAAGCTCCATTGGCCAAAGGTTCATCCCCTGACAAGGCAGCTGTGGTTCTTTCTCCTTTTTGTTCCATTGTGGAATCCATGTTTTTTGGTGAATTTTCCATGGATTTCTGGATGTTTTCATAAATGAAAAACCTGGATTTCTGGATGATTTTGTTGGGGATGTCATGCGATGTCCATGATTCCATGATTTTTTTCTCGAGACCTTGGTGTGGGTCAAGTCCTTGCGGTAAAAGGGACCCTTAGAAAAAAGGTGACCCAGGCCCAGAACATCCCAGAACTCTGCATCTTGTTTCCCCTTGGAAACATCCCGTCATAAACATTTGCAACCAATAAGATCGTCCATTTGCAGAACTTGCAATTCAGCAATCCAACATTTTGGACTTGCTTCACTGTTACACATTATTTTATGTGTCTTATTCTGTGTTATAATATAGAAACAACAGGTCGGCTGATCAGTTTTAATGATGGCACCATCGCCAACAGAGGGATCCAGTAAAACTCTGGCAGGATCTTGGCTGCATTTTTTTCATCGGATTTTCATACGCCCCCATCATTGCCATCCTGAAACCTTTCCATCTACAATATCTCAGTGTATACAATATTATATATATACGTATATATATATACACACCCTCTGGTAATTTAACATAGCTATTGAAACTCACCATATTTAATAGGTATATCGACTATGAATGGCAATTTTCAATAGCTATGCTAGTTTACCAGATGGTATATTCTAAAAACTATGATGCTCTAGGTAGCTATGATCTGCATCAGCAATTGCTACAAGCGCTTTGGAGAATGTCTGACACAGCAGGGGTGTTTCCTATACGGCCCATGCTTTGCATTTTGCTTTTGAAGTGCAGAGTTCAACCACAAAATCTGGGAAGTCCTATAAATATTGGGCTGTTGAACCAGCAAAATTGGGGCTTTGAAACCTAAGTAGCGGAAATGAAGATTTTTCAACCTACTTACTATTCTTGCGGTTTTGAACCAACAAAACTGAAGTCAAATTGTCAAAAAAAAAGTACATGTCCTTTCCAAGCAAACATGTGGTTTCGACCAGCAACATACCTCGCCATATACATAAGGAGCTAAACCGTCAAAGTTATGGATTTCAATCAGCTAATAATTTGTGTGTGCTGAGCAACACACATGGGAAGTTTAAACAACGCAAATGGGAACATAAACTCATAAACCAATACACCCAATCACTATCAATAACTGGAGGTTTGCCTAAGGGTTGATTGAGGGCCTATGACCCATTGGGACCCACCATTTTAGGACGATCGGGGTCAGAAATAGTGGAGGATACAGCTGACAGAAATGGGGATGACTGGTTTGGGTGTCCTTGCAACGTGCTGCTCTCTGGCCTTTTCAAACAGCAAACTTTGGTGGCAATTCTGGACAGACCTTGCTACAAATATGCAACCTGAGCTGCAATTGCAGAGCTGTCACTATGAAACCTTGGATCGCCCCAAGTCACAACGGAACCATCCGCCAGGATGGCAACATATCCCTTTTTAGCTCCTTCAACCTGTTGGACACCCTTGAGCTGATCTTTGACTCCAGAGCTGTCACCACCAGAAGTTCGATCGCCCCAAGTCACAACCGATCCATCTGCAAGGATCGCAGCAAATGCGCGAACATTTGCGTGAACCTGCTGGACACCCTTGAGTTGATCTCCGACTCCAGAGCTGTCACCACCATAATTTTGATCGCCCCACGTCACAACCGATTCATCTGAAAGAATTGCAGCAAATGCGCAAACGTTTGCGTAAATCTTCTGGACACCCTTGAGCTGATCTTTGACTCCAGAGCTGTCACCACCAGAATCTCGATCGCCCCAAGTCACAACCGATCCATCTGCAAGGATCGCAGCAAATGCGCGATCGGTTGCGTGAACCTGCTGGACGCCCTTGAGCTGATCTTCGACTCCAGAGCTGTCACCACCATAATTTCGATCGCCCCACGTCACAACCGATTCATCTGCAAGGATCGCAGCAAATGCGCGAACATTTGCGTAAATCTTCTGGACACCCTTGAGCTGATCTTTGACTCCAGAGCTGTCACCACCAGAAGTTTGATCGCCCCAAGTCACAACCGATCCATCTGCAAGGATCGCAGCAAATGCGTAACCCCTTCCCTGAACCTGCTGGACATCCTTGAGTTGATCTTTGACTCCGGAGCTGTCACCACCAGAATCTCGATCGCCCCAAGTCACAACCGATCCATCTGCAAGGATCGCAGCAAATGCGCGAACATTTGCGTGAACCTGCTGGACACCCTTGAGCTGATCTTTGACTTCAGAGCTGTCACCACCATAATTTCGATCGCCCCACGTCACAACCGATCCATCTGCAAGGATCGCAGCAAATGCGCGAATAGTTGCGTCAACCTGCTGGATGCCCTTGAGCTGATCTTTGACTCCAGAGCTGTCACCACCAGAGGTTCGATCGCCCCAAGTCACAAGCCGGTTCCCTCCAAAGCACCACAATGCGATAGCTTGATCTGTTGCTGCAACCTTCACCGGTATGGCAATGGCTGTCAAATGGTCCTCCTCTTGAAGTCCTGCAGCTTGCAGAGACTTCGCAGGATCCATCATATCATTATTTGCAGTCACAAGCTTCAAGAAGCCACACTGAAATAATTTCTGGGCCAGAACCCTCAAGTCCCCTACTTTGGAGGACTGGAGAAGTGAAAGTTTCTCACTGCGACCACTTGGCAACGATACGTTGAGTTGCAACATTTCGCTAGCCCTCACTGATCTTGAGCCAGACTGCACCATGCGGATGCTGGTGACCACCATCAACCCTTTTGGCTGCACATCGCTGGTAGCGCGTTCAGCGTCCTTTCAGTTCAGCCATTGTTTTGCATCCTAAACTCCATTTGTAATATATATATATATATAAATGCATGACCCCCCGAAGCCGCAAAATTCGGAGGGTGGCACTGAAACCCAAGGTTTCAAAACAAAACCCGAGCTTTGCTCTTTCCTCAAAATTTCACAATCAGTGCCCCCAGCTATCCTTGCAAATGGTAAAACCTTTACTCACCCTTGTGCGCTATCTTGAGCTCATCCATGAGTTTTGAGCCTCCAAAATCCGTCTTAGGTATCTCATCACCATTTGGGGAGCTCCAAAATCCATCAAAATGCTGGGAAAACGCAAAAAAAAAGACGCACCTCCAAGAGTTTGCTCAAGTCCTTCTCAGTGAGTTCACGAGCCTGGGCTGTGGAAACCAATGGAAACAACCGGCCACCGCAACAATCGGGCTGGGGCTTGCCATCTTTTTTGGGAGAGAAGATTCCCACCCCTTGCGGACTTGGAGTCCAAACGTTTGGAACGGGCAGTTCCATCCGGGTATGTTGAAAACCCGTCAAGATAGCGCGAGAAATCGCTATGATTGCTTTGGATTGCCAAAGTACCCTGGGTTTAGATTTTACATCCCAGTATGTGGACAAAGCCAGATGTTTTTTCTATCGCATTTGAATTTCTAGACTTGCGCTGTGATTGTAACCACAGAACTGCAGCCACTCTCCCTGGCAACCCTTGCTGGCACGCCAGTTGACAATCGGTAAATGCAAAATGAGAGTGTCTGAAAATGAGGTATACAAAACCCAAATTTTCCATTGAAAAGCGGAAATTTGGGGAAAACGTGCAGTTAAGGCCCGAAATACCAGTTATAAGTACTAAGAAAACCCCATTTATAGAATGTATAATCCCATAGAAATAACCAGTTATAACTAATAAATGACCATAACTGTGGGAAAACATGAAATTCTGGGCGTAGCCTATGGGCCTATTTTCAACCAAGCCCCGTTCTGAACCACGCCGTCCAAGGATTGACTGAGTCTCCCCACTGCATGCAGGGACCTGAAACAGTGGGCGAGATATGCTAGCTTCCAAATACCACCCCCTGATACATCTTATACCGAAGTAGGTACTGGATACATATATCATAATATATATATATATACTGTAATATACTGTAATATATTGTAATATACTATACAATCCATCTATGAATGGTACAAGTTAACTAATTTCAAGAGGAATGCTCTATTGGCCCTTAAGAAGTAGGTACCAACCGTCCCGTACCTACTTAAACTCCTCAGCAAGAACCCTTTCACACCCCACGTCATCAAACTAGTAGAAAACATGGTTTTCATTGCTCTTCAAAACTAGCCAAGGTACAAGTAGTACATCTATGTTTTTTACATGCAAAGTAAGTGTTTTAAAGTACAAAAGTGGCGGCCAAAGCAGGACATCTTTGGGAGACCCAAATCGCAATTTCCGGACTGCGACTTTGGGAGTCCAAATCATTGGGGTAGATCACATCGGAGTTAACATCCCAGTTGTTGAGGTATGCCAGGTATGCCATCTTGCATAATATTTGCATAGCAATCTGGTATACAAAGTGTATACAATATATCATATCAATTCATATCATCATATTATGATAATGCATAGCAATAGTCTTATTAGTTCCCTGTAAGGACAATCAGATGCAATCAGCCACTGGGGAAAAATGTCAACCCAATGACCAACGCCATGGATCCCCGCTGTCTGTTTGGGAAGCCCGACCCTTTGGTTGCCATATGCAGGAGCTTGTTGAAGAAGCTGTCCAAGTCTTGAGGCGTCGCCTGTCTGAATAAATGGTTCCAGTCCCAATTTCTGGTGCGGAAGGGAAACTGATGATACATCTGGCTGGAATGTTCGGGCTGTACATGACTATACACCATGTGAGGGGCTGAACATCTTGACAACCTGCAGCCAGATTTTAGATATAAATGACCAAACATAAGACAGCCATTTGGGATTCAGGTGACCATCGAAGTCAGAAAGTGGTTCAAGGTAACCCTGGCGAGCGAGTCAAACAAAACCTCTGTGTCTGGCACTGTTTGAAATTGAGGTATACATACCTCCAAACCATAAGTTTAGTAGGGACAATCATGATTAATCAGTATATAAACGTTTGCCTACCCCTATGTTCAAACACACCCTCTTGGAAGAAGTTGCGCTGGCTTGACTCTCAGTACAGCAATCACCTCAAGCATAGTAGATATAGCAGAACCCCTTTTCTTGGAAGAACAATAATTCATGTCATAAATCCATACAAGTCTCTGGTCGAAAAACTCGCAAAAGCAGTAGTCAATGCACTGTGCACTGACCAAAACTGTACTTGCACAAGCTACTGACCTAAATGGTACAGTACAACCCCCAACGTGAATCTCAGCTGTTTTGATGTGAACAGAAGGCTACCCTCTGGTAATTTAACATAGCTATGGAAAATCACCATTTTTAATGGGTAAATCCACTATAAATGGCAATTTTCAATAGCTATTTTGACATAACCAGAGGCTACTGATAGGATTTCTTTCTTCCTGCCCCCTGGTCGACCTCCATCTCGATTCCAAGACGTTCTTGGATCTCCTGAAGTCAATGGTTTTGAGCCACTCATCCCGAAAAAAAACATGCCACCAACGGGCATCATCAATCAATGATTTTAGATCATAATAAGACTCATAACTCATATCATAAAAATGTGATGTTATATATATATATATATTATATAATCAACATCAATCATAATCATCATATCAAAATGATATATAATAATATTCATATGAATGATTTTACATCTTAATAATATGCTAGTCTCTAGTAATATTAACTAGTAAGGATCATGATCAGTCTCCAGAACTCACCATGTTGGCCCGCCATTTGCCCAGCCTCGAGCAAGCGGCGGACGTGATTTTGAATGCGGCGCTTCTCCCAGTACTGGCAGGGCAGTGCTGGAGACCATGTTGTTTTAGAGTCCTCCCGTGACTTCATTGGGACTAAAACAATTGTAATATACAGTTCTGTGATGTCAATGAACAAGTATATCTTCGTTTCCTAAGACTCATGTCAATTGAGTTTGCACTGGGGCACACGTTGCGGAGGGCCACAAACAACCGGTGTTTGTTATTTTCGAAAAGAAATAACAACATAGAATCTAGCAGAATCCACTCCTATCTGTGACCATTCCTAGCTCCAGCCGGCTCCCAGTTTATTGGGAATATATCGGCATATAGATATATTCTGTGTATGTATATATATATATGTGGATAGAACCGAAGCTCCAGACCGCTTCGCGAAACGCTCCATTCACAAACATTTTGTGGCCACTGCTGGTTTGTGCGCACCATGTTTTTGTCAATGTGCTCGCTCGAAGCCAGAAGAGTCGCAATCATCGGCTCTGCCAATGCCTGCGTTTGTCGAAAAAATACAATGCCTGTGGTTGGCAAAAGTAATTCCCAAAAGATGATAGAACAGTAAAATCCAACCAAAATAGTGACAAGATCCGTTTCGATCATTTTGGGGTTTGATATTAATATATGAAACCAATATAAATGAATATACATATATTATATATATACTATAGTGGGAAATTCGATTTCATGGCTCCCAGCTGGTGCAGCATGGCTGTAGTCCATCCATCATTGATAAAACATTGACCCATGCATGAATCTGGGTCTGGGTGGTCTGAGCGGTCTGGCGGTTGTAATTTTATGGGTAATAAAGAAATACATTATTATTACTTGGTGGCGAACTACCCACTTAGTAAGTGGGTTATAACCCCAGTGATTGACATGGGATATATAACTAGGGTTAATCCACTTATAACTGGGGTGAACTAACCCACTTACGAGCAGTGGGATGAGCCACCAAGTAATATATATATACATAACTTTATTTACATAACATATATGTTTTGCAATGTTTTGCTCTACCTCGGGAAAGTTGCACTATATTAAAGGAACATCATGATTTCTGATAAACAAATCATCTATATAAATGCTTCATTTTCTACAGCCATAGCAAACTCTTAAATCGATTATTCCTATTGTTTTTGGTGTGGGGTCCATGTTTCTTCCTGAAGTCCGAAAATGTCGACTTGGCAACTTGGCAACTTGGCAACTCCAGCCCACCACCCAGGCCTCCTGCCAGAAGGCACGGAGGCAGTTCATGTTTTCATCCTCCTGGCAAATCGGAAAATCTTGGGAATCCTTGGGTTAGAATAGTCCAAAATAGCGCATTGAAACGGAAAAAACTTGGGAATAACCCGGAAATTTATGTCTTGGCTCTGCTTGGATAACAATATGCTAATGTGGTCGTTTGGCATTGCGTTGGATTTGCTAACAATCGTTGCTCCATGTGACAACCCCATATTTCAGGTCGAAAATAGGGATGATTTGCAGGTTCAATGAAGCACACTGAACGTTCCCAAAGCATCCATCTTACTGGTATCGGTATGTCAATTCCCTCATTGACGTTCATTCACATGCAACATCACTCAGTGACAACCCAGATGCTGAAGGGACTTTTTAGCGATGGATGAAGGTACGTGGTCTCACCCTGTCTGGAAATACACTGGAAGAGACAGTTGCACAACCCTCAGCCTCAGTGTAACCAAGAAAAACAACACCTATATTACCATATATTACCATATATTACCATATATTACCATATATTACCATATATTACCATATATTACCATATATTACCATATATTACCATATATATATATATATATTACCATATATTAGCTATATCTGCCGTCAATCTCAATCTCCCAACACAAAGTCACATCGCTTTCTCAGAGTTCCATCAGTCTTTGTTCAGGGCCCATCCCCCAGACATCAACGGATCAACGGCCGTTACGCCGGCCTTTTCTTCAGCCAGTTGACCTGATCAACAGCGGCGACAGGTGGATCCTGGCGGTCAAGATTTTTCTAAAAACTCTCGATCCGATTTTTTTCACGTTCCAAAATCGAGGAGTGAACATGATTTTGTTTTAAACACCATTATATCCATGAAGAAAAGTGTCAAAGTTATTCCGGTAAAGGTCATGTGTGGCAAATGTGGCAGGTTTTGATACGAGAAGTCAGAGACTTATCGTACCAAACGAGACCAAACAACTTTGCAACTTGGTAAAACCCATAGGATCCATATGGTATATATGCTAACATTGGGGGTATATTGATGGTAAATGTTACCATATATACCACACATGGATCCTATGGGAAATGGTAGTCACCCCTCAATATAAACCCCAAGTGTTGAAGCACCTGCTCCACCCTTGGGGTCCGACTGAACTCCATATTGGCAAATGGAGAAGTGCGTTTCGATGAGGTGGGTACCTCAGTCAAGTTTAATGGATTGGTTCCTTTCAGCCAATTATGGGATTCACTACCACACACTTGTCATTGGCTGAAACTTTGGCCCGAATGGAACAACTGACAAAGTGGGACATGAGCCAATGAGCCCTTTATTGTATTCCTACTAGACTTTTATAGTCTACTCAAGTCTAATCATGTGCATTTAATCATGTCTTGTGACAATTTGTAGGCATGGATATTCCGGATGGCTTCTAGTTTGCCAGGAACCGTCCGCCAAGCCACTTTGAAATGTGCACATCAATTCCAAATCAAGACATATGAGATGGGTATGTCCAAAAATGGAGGATTCCCAATATAAGTAATACCACAAGGATCCAAAGGGACCAAAAATGCAAAGGAAACAAACGGCTTTGTCTGAAAACATGGCAACCCAAAATCGAGTGGTTACTTGCCATCCACCTGAAAGACGCGATTTGGGGTATCCCCAATTATTGGACAAGTCCACATATCATACAAGTAATAAATAAGTATATTCTGTATATTAAATATATATATATATATATATCATCGATGGTCATATATCCATTCCATATAGTGGATTCATCACTCAAACCTCCACTTCATTCTCATTGTACCACCATTGTAACGCTTTCTCCCATAATGGTTGGAGTAGGCCCTATTCATTGTGAAGAGTGAATATTGACAGAATCCATGTATGTGTAAACAATTCATGGACGATTTTCCCATGTTGTGCAATGGTCAAATCATTATCAACACGGGGTAACACTCATCCCACCATCATTGGGGATTCCTTATATCCTTATAATATCTTATCATGGCTATATGAAATCCCTTTGAAAAAAAATAACTAAAAAAAACATCAAATCCTTTTTTTAAAGAAAAAAATAATTTTCATCAGAGTTGACCATCTCCATCCCCGAAAAAATGGGAAAATGACGCTTGAGAAGCTGAGTTTCCGCCGGTGCCGGTGGAGCCACAGCTGGTGGGGGCAACCTGGGCATGTGAAATTACAAAGTAACTGTGAATTATAGATATAATATGCATATTATATATATTATACATATACATAGATATAATATAATATGATATAATATAATATAAATATGATATTATATTATATTACATAATATAATATAATATAATACTATAATACTATGACTATAATACTATAATACTATAATACTATAATACTATAATACTATAATACTACAATAAAATAGTTTTCAAAATATTTTGATAAATAATGCGATATAAAAACTATAATATGATATGTTTTAATATAATATAATGAAATATAATATAACATAATAAGCAATAATAAAATATGATCATAATTCTAGTAAAATAACATATAATAAAATATAATACTAACATACATTCATGACTAACCACTTAATTAAACACACAAAATATAAATGAATATGTATATATATATATAATTCTAAATGACAATAAATTGATATAAATGGCATGTATGCGACAATGCATGTGAGCACCCGACCCGGAACTGATCAAATCTGCCAGCGTCCATGTTTGCATGTTCCCCAACATTCCCCAACTAAGCCATCGGCTTTTTTGGCGATGTCACCATCATCGCGGCCGCGACTGCATTGGTGGAGGTCACTGTGGTGGCAGTCACTGTGCTGGGCATCACTGTCCTGGGTGGCCCAACCACGGTGTATGTCACCGAAGGTTGTCGCAAATGTCGGGGGCCTGACACCACTGGAGGTGCAAGCGGTGCGGCTGCTGGGACTCGCACTGGTGCCACAGGTGCACGGTGCAAGAAATGGCCTGAGCCACTGGTCTGCAGACCGTTCACCACATAGCTTGGAGTGCTAGTGACCGTCGTGACCCTCTGGAAGCTTTGCCCAGGGATCCCATTGGACGGAACGGGGGTTGCAACGCTGGTCATGTTCACGACTTTGGGCACAAGGTGTCCCGAATTGGGACTCCTTGGCACAATGCGCACGACGCCGGGCTTCGACATCTTCGCACGTCACGATCACTGAAACAGCTGCAGGATGTGCATTCCACATATTATTTCAACCACCTAAGAAACTGCAGGAAGTCTACATGGACCAAGATTTCAACTGAATTCAGCACAAGGACCTTCAAAGCAGCCATGTCACCATTTTGTTTGAATTAGCATACTTTAGCATCGACAATGACAATCAAACAATATCCCAAGATACATTTGTGAACTGCGCATATAATTACCCACCGTCCCGGCAAGCAAACACCCAGGAGATTGCAACCGTTTTTCACAGCGTCACAACTGCAAAGAGACAGCGTTTCAACAAGCAATTCAGAGGTAATACCGGGTACCCCATTACAAGCAGCATCCTGTATCAATTTCAATGTCTCACAACTCCGGGAAAGTCCTGCAAACTTTCAGCAGCAGTTGGGTATTTTGCTTCGAGTAAAGACTTTTAGCCATGGAAGCCACCACATATTATACAACTTATGTCATGTGTCAATGTCAGCTGCTTCCATTCAGAAACTGTCAGCAACTCATTGTTTCTTCGGCTCTGATCACAGAATTGCTTAACAAATCACTGGGTTAACCACCAACCATTTCGACGATCAAAAAACCCATCAAAACCCCATTGATGTCCACGGATTTGACCTAATTTTCTTCATGGGCCAAGCCACTGATCTGAGCTGTTCAGTTGCTCCTCTCATCTATCCCAGCCCGTCAGATCATCATCCGACTCATCCGCGCACACGTTCGGTCCTGGATGGGTGACCAGTGTCATCAAACATGGCTGGAAAATCCACCTGTTATAGATGTGTTTCCCATTGAGGCTTCCATTAAAATGGGGAGATACTGGAATGCAACACATCTTCAAACGTATTCAAACCCTTTGGTAATCTAACCTGGTAATGAAAAATCCTGTGAAAACACAGTAATTACGTACTTATATTCACTACACGTATATAAACATAAACACATGAAGTATAATTAAACATGTATAACTTAACATGGTATAATTACTGTAACACATCCATGATTGGGATTTCCACAGGTGTGTTTTTTTGTACCAAACAGTTTTTGCTTGCATCACTCAGCATCCGATTCCCTGGAGTTTTGTTGCGAGTTCCATATTGGGTTTGTGGGGGATTCCCCAATCGATGGCTATGAAAAATACTCATTTCTTGGACAAAACATGACAAAAGCCTAACTCCTACCATAATTTATGACAAGCTAAATGTGAATTGATCAAACCTCTACCCTCTGGTGAACTAACATAGCTATTGAAAATGGCCATTTATAGTGGATTTTCCCATTAAAAATGGTGATTTTCCATTGCTATGTTAGTTCACCAGAGGGTATTATTAATTCTATTCATTTTGTCAAGACTTGTCAAGACTAGACGGCGAGACATGAAACTGTCATTGTGCTAAGCCAGTAAAAACCCCTGGCTTTGTCTGAAAATTTTGCGTAGCCCGGGTGCCCCAAATCCCATGGTTTATCAGAATTTTCCCCCATAATGGCAACCTTACTGGGGATATACCCCCATTTCACACACATGTCAGAAACCAATATGCTGTGCCCACGGATGCAAGGATGAAGTTTCTGAAGGTGTAGGGCCCAAGTAGAAAGATCTACAGCTATGGTTCTTTACCAGTTACAGTAGTCAGTCAGTCAAAAAAAACACCGTCTATGGAATAATAAACCCCATCAAAATTACTAGCAAAAGGGCTCTAGATTTAAACACTTTGCCCCATAAAAGTTACCCAGGAAAAAACAAATGTGTCCCGGAAATACATGAACCAGTAATATCCATTAATCCCATCTCCCTTTATAATATTCAACCCTTAGAAACCATGATGGATGTAGGGAATTGCCCCAGAGCAAACGGCCTTTGGACGGCTGTGCTGCAGAAACGTCAGGATAACCTGTGGCCACCTGGTCAAGGGTGGATGCCCTTATTTTTGCGCGGCCAAAATGATAGTAAATAAAAACTTTAATGGGTATATATACCATTATAAACCATTGTTATCCATTTAAATTATATAAATGATAGTCATTATATCAAAATGATAGTCAATATATATATAATACATAATCAATGGATATATAAAAATTGTTTATAAGTTGATGTCATGATAATTACGCATTCATATGTATATATATATAATGAATATATTATGTGTCTATATAATTGGTATATGTCAACGGGAATTCGCCAGCCATTTTATGGGGATATAATGGTAAATATGTATAGTCAGCAAATATGGTGACATGTCTGTCCAACAAAAAATGCATACATCCTTACGCCCCATGGCTATTTTGATAGGGAAAATCATAAGAGCCCACCAGGGACGGAAACAAACTGAAACCACCAGCCAATGACGACAAAAGCAACAAACATATACTTAAAAACAGTTGCTTTGTTTGACTATGTTTGACTGCACTTTAACCAAACATATGATCATATGGGTTTGTAGTCACATTTAATCGTCATTTTCACTCTTTAAAACTGCCGTTTTCAAGTACTGTCAATTTTTTGACAGATGTATTTCAATCCTGAGAGTGCTACAGTGTACAGTATGTTTTTCGCGTCTGTTGAACAGCTACGTTTGCAATGTCCCACAGGCCTGTCTTGTTGCTCCCGTCCCTGAACCTGTCCTTGGACGACCTTGGTTTGAGCACCTCCCCAAACCCTAAAAAAGTAGGTCCGTGGACACCAAAATAATCCCGGTCTTGGGGACGGACGATTAATTATAAGCCACGGTGAAATGACAAAATTACATGTTTTCCCAATCTGCACTCAATGATAAGCCATCAACATCCATCAACCTGTTTTCGACCTGTTTCAAATTGACTGCACGTGGTGAAACTTTATCCTCCCACCATATCTCCCACCTAAATCGATCTGAGCCCGCCGCGGTTTTCCACCATGCTAGCCGCGCTTCCTGTGATTTTTTGCCCGCCCTGCCCCCCCCCATGTTCAGGATGGGGGAAACCAGCACACCGACCAAGTTCCCAACCCAAAAATGTTTCTGACATGCTACCTGCTACCTTTCTTTCTTTTAACTGTTGAACTGTGCCAATGAGCATCACTGCCCACTGGTACATAAATGCAAGACATGGGGTGAAGCTGGTCAAAGAAACTTCACAAACATCAAAAACTGCGAAAGTAATCAGCCATGCAACTGAAAAACATCACTGTCGATTGGCACCAGCATATTGAACATATTGATCATATTGAACACCCATTTCTATGGATCGTTTCCACAACCTTCCAACGAAGAGGTGGTCAATCATCCAAAACAAAATGAACCAAGAGGTATCGCATTCATCCCGGTCATGTTGCTTCTCCCACAAAGTTTGCCGGCAAAAAAATCACTCAGAATCGTCTTTGGTGTTCCGCATGTCACTGATGTCGCAAAAAAATCTACGAGTGAACCCTCCCTATTTTTACATATGTTCACCACAATCACAGTATTGGAACAATGTGGGCCCCCATGTGAAAAACATGTTTATAAACCCCATGAATTATAGTTGGACGTACATCTACGATGATATACGTACCATAAACCATAGCTATACCATAGTTATACCATAGTTATACCAGGTATGTTCACCAACTTCGCCATAACAAGGGCCCCACATGGCCCCACTTGCCAGGCTCCCCCCACGTGGAGCCGTGAGGTGTGGAGCCGAGCCTGAGTTAAAAGTGGCAGTTTCAACCATCAAATGTAGAAAATAGATTCAAATATATTAATTAATACACATCATATCACATCATGTAAACAGATATCATACATGATATTACATTATATCACAATATTATATATACAGGTTTTAGACTCATATTCGGATATATGATACATAATGATACATACATATGATTAATTATGATTACATATATGCATCTGCATACCTCAAGAATCAAAATGTGTGATTTGGCCAGAATGAAGGTTCTACCATCGACAATGAGGATTTGACATGATTTGACCCGCAATCAATGGAGGTTTACAAACCATTTTTATTGGGAGAAAACGAGAAAACCAATAGACACCAATAGATACCCTCCGGTAAACTAACATACTGTAGCTATTGAAAATGATCCATTTATAGTTGATTTACCCATTATAAAGTGGTGATTTTCCATAGTTATGTTAGTTTACCAGAGGGTAAATGGGGGCACTGACCATCGATAGCCTGGGGTGGTTGATTTGCAACACCATTTTTCTTCATCTTTGTTTATCGTTTGGAGGGGCATTCAAACCCGTACCCCAAACAAGGAGTTATTGTTGGGTTCGCCATGTTGTGCAGTTTAGAGATGTGTTCATAAAATAATTGCATTGATGCTGACAAATTGCGTTACATGAATATGAATGACTCACCTCATTCACATTCCTTCAAGCTGACATGCCGTTGAGAAGTACATCTGGGCGTATTGTTCAACCAAAATATTTCTCAATCATCCTTAATCTACATTTTTGTGTGCGATCTTCCTTTAAAAAAAGCCAAAGAAAAGTCAAATTGAATTCAACTTCAAAGCAATTTAGATTCCATGCCAATTTCAAGCGGAAGCGCTCTCAATATGAATGAGTTTTCAATTAGGCAACTTGTTTGGCAATGATAACGTGCAAAGGCTTTCTCAATATGTTTTTTGCTTTCAATGAGGCAATTTGTTTGGCAATACCAAAGCGCAAAAACTTTCTGAATTTGGCAATTTGGTTGGCAATGCTAAAATGCAAAAGCTTTCCGAACATGTTCGTTTTCAATTAGGCAATTTGTTTGGCAGTACTAAACTGCAAACGCTTTCCCAACATGTAATTATTTGCTTTTCGCAATTGGGTGATTCGTTCAGCAATACTACAAGGATCCCAACACGACACTTATGCATGCATTTTCAAATCAATGTGGGTAAAACAATACTAAACCATCCCCCAAATCACCTAAAATAGGTGGTATGAACCATTCCCAAATGGGTGGTTTATCATTGTTTGCCCACATTAGGCGATTTGTTCGGCAAGACAT